ACATTAACACAATGGAAGGTGCATGGCTTTTTAATAAATGTGTTATCACAGACCCAATTTTATAATGTAGTTAAACACTGTATACAATGTATTTAGAAGCAAAAAGCCTTCATGTCCTCTCTATAAAGATAGATACTATCTTCTCTTGTTGAATGCAAAAAAATTTGAAAAATTAAATTTCTATCATTTGAGACAACTAATTCTATTAGCTCTTGAGCTTCCATAATTATCATTAAGAAACTATTGGTCTGACAAAAGTAATACTTCCAAAGCAAATATGTAAGCAACTTTCATCTGAATGCTGTAGTGTACTTACTTGATTTTTATGATATGAGCTTAAAAGTAACAATAATATGCTGTATATAAAAATTGTCTGACTACAACTTAAAAATACTCACTTATAATTACCTTAAAATAACAGGTTTCTTTTGTTGCTCTATTAATATTTTCATCCATGTGGTTCCAAGTAAAACTGTAAATGGTCTAGTGTGCAACATTGTAAAAATGAGCCAACATAACCAAATATTTGCAAATGTATTTTAAAAAGCCATTTAAGTAGCAGTGTATCTTGTACCAATGGTGTTAACTGGTGGCCTGAGGTTGTCACTTACTAGAATTAGTGCTGTCATCCTTGGTTCCATCGAGAGCTCCATCGGGGTGCATTTGCAAGTAGTAGCCTTGCCTGCAATATAACCTGGTCACTATACCCTTGAGCTGGGGATCTGAAAGGCAAACATAGTTGTCATAAGCCTCACAATGTGTCACAATAGATTTTCTTTCTTCTTTTCTGTTTTTTTATTCTCTTTCAGAAATAAGAGGGCATTTTATAGAAGTAACACCTTTTTTAATTTGGGTCTCCCATATTTCCCTGTATTTATCAGACCTGGAGTATATTAATATAGAAGGGGAAGAAAATGCAGTCATAAGCTGCATAAGTATTTGCTAGCTGCAGAAAATAGGTCATTTTGTAAAACTGACAGGTGTGTATTTAAATTATTAGGTTACATGATTAAACTATCTAATCTGTTAGTTTAATTATGAGTTAAGTCCTAAACTAATTAGTTTAATAGTTTAAGCTGATATCATTCAGGAGTTTTACAAACTCTGGCTCAAACAAAGCTTTTAAGGGCTTTTTAATGAATTTCTTTTTGTTTTTTTACTTAATTTAGCAAACAATCCCCAAATATGAAAAGCTTGTATTTAAAAAAAAAATCATACTAACATTTTGATACAAATTCTTAGAAAAAGTCCCAATATGAAGAATGTTTCCTTAATACCTAAAGGGCCACCCTAACTTGCATGGAGGTATCTTGGTACTTATGCAGGATCCATAAGAAAATGGGAAACACGAGTTCCGAACTCAGGATGAGGCCCAATAACAAACATATACCGTCAGCTCAGCTCTGTGGCCATAATCTCACCAAATTAGACAAATTTAATGATAATTTTACTCATTTATATAACTAAAAAGGGAGAGTAAAATTAGATAATACGGGTTTTGATTCTTGGCCAAAAAGGCCTGAAGTAGAGGACAATGGAAGTTTATTAAAACAAAAAGGGAAATTATATGGTAACAGACTTTTCATTTGATGACTCATTGAAAAGGTAACCACTCCAGTGATTCAGTGCTTCACAGAGAGCCAGTTGTATCTTTGAAAATAAATATTTGCATGTGGCTTTTCAAAGGTCATCCCCAATTCATGCCTAGATTTGATGTGGGATATCATAAACCTCACCATGGAAACTGCACAACTGCAGAATGGGACGTGCAAATGCAATCACGCTGTCAAAACGGGAGGATGTCATAGAATGATGAAATCTAACATCTTGTAATCGATAGAAAAATTCTGGCCTTGAAGCCAGATGAACACAAAAATCACACATGCAAAAATGTAAACAAACGAACAAAAATGTTGTTCAAAATCACAGTATCCTTTGCCTTCAGTTCAGTCCTCAAGAAATTTTCTAAAAAATGCCAATATCTGTTTCTATGTATATCTGATATAACTAATAACTTGAAAAATGATTCCATGATACACAGATTTTCTTCAAAGACAGTATAAAATTGAAGAAAACCCAGAAAATAATGCATGAACACCACAGCATCACATCAATACGACTAAACATTAGCATATAGATGCTTTTAGAAGACTAGGATTTTAAAAAGAAACATCTAAGTGACTGTTAGGATTGTGTTACATATGTTCCTTATTCTGTAGTACATAACTTTAAAATCACATAATTCTATGAGGTGCATTAGGGAAAAGAATTATTCTTGCACCTCAGCCTGCCCATCACTCAGAAAAACTTGACTGGGCAATCGGCCCTCTAAGCATTGAGGACTTCTTTTCTTAGTTTTGCTGCATCAGATTTTTGCTCCGCACGGAAAATAAGTAGCACAGAAAAAAATAGAACAAAAGTAAAAAGGTGGGGGTGGGGGACAGATTCTTTATTGCCATAAAAACATACAGAGAATTTTAGACATTGACAATATTTCGGCAAAAACATTATGCTCTGAGTCACTTATTTTAGATAATCATACATTTTAGCTACTATATCTTCTGGACTTGAATTAACTAGGTCAGGAAAGATAGTAAGAAGATACATAATCCCCGCAAGCTCCCTCACACTGATACAAAGAGAGCCCTTCTTTTTTTGTTTTTTCTATTATCAAAAAAAATCCCAAGAGATAACAGGTATTGATGAGAATGTGGAGAAAAGGGAGCCCTCATGCATGACTGGTGGGGATGTAAATTGATGTAGCCACTGTGGAAAAGAGCATGGAGTTTCCTCAAAAAATTAAAAATTGAACTACCATAGGACCCAGCAATTCCATTCCTGGAAGAAATTTATCTGAAGGAAATGAAATCATTATCTCAAAGAGATATCAACACCCCCATATTCATACAAGATATGCAAACAACCTAAGTGTCCATCAAAAAGTAAATGAATAAAGAAAATGTGAGGTGTGTGTGTGTGTGTGTGTATGTGTATGTCTGTGTGTGTGTGTGTGTGTGTGTGTGTACATACACACGATGCAATATTATTTAGCCTTTGAACAGAAGGAAATCCTGCCATTTGTGACAACATGGATGAGCCTAGAGCACATTATGCTATGATAGCTCTTCTTGACCATACCTCGTTTCTGATAAGGAAGTATAAAATATGAAATTGCTTTTGAGCTCTCATTTAATTTCAAGGAAATATAACCAAATTGATTTCTATTTATCTAGTTCCACATTCTTTGGCATTCTCTTTTTCGAAACCATAACATCGATTGTGTTCTACTCAGGTGCCAGGAACTGTTCTAAGCATAGTACAGGATTAACTCATTGGATCTTCACCACAACTTAATAGGAAGCCTATTTTGAATATGAGAAAGTAGAAACAAAGGGCAATTACGTAATTTGACAAACAGCACGTAACTAATAATTGCAAAGCTGGGTTTAATGTGAACCTGCTCACTTAACTTCTACACTATGTGGCTTCCATAAATTAAACCATTAAAATAAACCATTTAAAACCCTAACATAAAATGCAAACCAACCTTTTCTAAAAAAAAAACCTAAGATTTTAAGTATCAACCACATCTGTGTCTAACCCAAATTCTGTATACTTGGAGTTAATCTGTGATATAAAGCTATAACATAAAGGTAGAAAGGATCAGTGTTCTTTAAAATCTCTTCTAAAATTCACCCCACTTGATCATTGGCTGCATTTCCAGTCAATCTCTACCCATGAAACCCTCACCCAAATTGCAAATTTAATATTGTAAGTCTAAACTTCCTCCAGGACCATTTTCCCTTCAAATTTTCCATCTCCATTAGCTCTAGCCAAAAGGCACTTCTACCTGACTTGACGACTTACGTTAACAATGTCAGTCCGCCAAGATCAACACCATACTTGCTTTTCTTATTCTGTCTAATGAGTTCTCTGGTTCCCACAGATGCTGTCTTCACAATCTCCCTCATTCTCTTCCCTTTTTCTATTTTCACTGCCAGCAGCAGTTCAGCCCCCAGGGCCTCTCCTAGGTAGCATTCCCACCCGCAGTGTGCCTGTTCCAATCCATCAGATCTAGAAAGACATAGCGACTCCTCACTGCTGGCTGAATTACTCACACATTCTGCAGCAGTGGGGCCCCATCTTACCTGCCTGGCCTTGTTTTCCACTGCTCCCATGCCACCCCCTCACAGCCCAGCCAGGGTCACTGTGGGCTGCCTAGAAATATTCCATAATCCTCCACATTTACCCTGCTCCCTTAACCTCATCTGTCTGAAATATGCCCACCTGAGTACAGATGCCTGCCCCCTTGCACATCTGTGCACACACACACCCACATACACACATCTTTGCATAGTTAACTCCTTTTCCTCCTTCCTAAGTTCAGGTCCATCAACACTTCCTCTGGGGCTCTTTCCTGACTCCTCAGACAAGGTCAGATCCCTCTTTTGAATACCTTTATGGCAGCATTCTTCATAGGCATAGGTACAACTTATTTGTTAAATATCAAAATGACTTCATTTTGAAATAGTTTTAAAACACTATAAGATACAGAAAACCTATATCTGTGTACCTACATCCATGAGCCCACCACTAAGATTAAACACATGTCAATATTTTGCTTTATAATACATGGTTTTCATGCCACATTTATTTGTGCAATTATAGGATTGATGTCTATCTCCAACCTGGACTGTAAGTTTCATGAAGAAAATTGAATTGTTGATATTACTTATATTACATCTCCAAGGTCTAGATAAACAGGAGCTGTGCAATATATATTTCTTGGATAAATACTCACAATGGTGTAATTTATCCAGTAATTTCATATATTGCTGGTAGGAGTAAAAACTGGAACATGAAAACCAAGATGGTGATTATATTAATGCGTTAAAAATGTCCACAGTTTTTTACCAAGTAATTGTACTTTGACTTTGAAGACTTCTTACTTAACAATATATCCTCAGTGCTAAAAAGTTTTGTGTACTAACACATATGTATATAACATAAGCATGCCTGTGTAAAAAATATTATCCATAAGTAAAAATACACAGGAGACAAGATGCTAAACTGTTAAATATGACTGAATTTTGATAGGTATCAGAATGTTTATTTTTCAACATCTTATTATTTGCAAAATTTTCTATAATGATGGCATGCTACTTTATAATGAAAATGCAAAAAAATAATAAAAATCTATTAATGCCTTTTGACAAGAAATGAGTAAATATATCATTTCATACACACTAGCAAATAATATTGTATACATATATGCAAATAGCCTAAGTGCATATTACGTTAGTAGATTAACTGGTGCCCCAAATTTTCAAAGATGTCATGTATTAATTTCTTTTTTGTGCATAGTCACAATCCATGAAACCTCCACTATGATTCTTTATTATTTAGAAAATTGTCTATTATGCAATATGGCCATTTATAGCTTAAGGTCATTCTTTCAAATAACTAAAACAAAAGGGAATAAAAACAAAAAACCTTTTCCCCCAAGGCCAAAAGTATGCAACCAAATAATCATAGCAAAAACAAAACAAGACAGAACAAAACAAAACAATTTTACTAAGAAAACAACCACATCAGCAGGTAAAGCCAAACTATAACCAAGCTTCTAGATCTACTGTATATGGGAGAAAATGTCACATAAACGCCAGAATGAGGGGGGTCCAGCCTGGGCAGTGACAATAGAAGCACATGGCTCCTAAGCAGT